TTATTATTATTATCATTATTACTATTATTATTATTATTTTATTAAAACGTTATAAATCGTGCAGATTTCAAACATCATCTTTTGTTTTAGGTCACCTACACCAATTTATCATCTCGGGACTTGAAACCGGATTCGTCATGGTGGTACGATACCATCAAGGGACAAGATAAAAAGGGGATGCGCAACCATCCTGGTGTGGCTTTGGAAGAGAGGATCTGCAAAGGTAAAAACTACTCACTTGTGGCGGAGGCATGAATTTTCTAGTTCAGAACAAAGAGTTTACAATAGAAACTTGTTAACAGTTCTTTTAAATTCATTTTAAAAAGAAATGATCATAATAATAATCATGAAAATTATAGAATATAATTTGTATAGCGCATATCCCAACCTAACAGCACCCTTTATGCGTTGTACAATATATATCATCACTAAGAAATTAGTAGATCTATTCATACTAGTTTTTCACCGAGAATTCTTGGCCTTGTAAACCTGAATACTCACACTTAGATACAACCGCTTTATCAACAAGAAAGAATGTAGAACGCGTATTTATTTTCTCTTGACAAACCGCCGAGACTGTAGTTTTAAACACTATGTTTTGCGTGGTACATATTTCCTGGGCTTTGTTGATATCTCACTGGGCTGTGATGAGGTAGTTCCTATTCCGAATCTCAGAAAGGGATGTTCCTGAACCTTCGCTGGATGATCAGTATTTAAAACTCTCTCCGTTTCTTAACTCAATCATACCGGAGATAGACGTAAAATTTTAAGATTCCGCCTCATAAATAACCTTATAGTGTTGAAAAGGGTGTTTACCCCAAACATGTATCAGTTTCTGTTCAAATACTTTTACAGTGAACCGAATTTTGTTTTAAGTCGAAATTGTCCAAAACTTACAATCATTGGCGTGGAGAAAATGGTCATCTTAGACAGGTGAACATCTTGGAAAGTGCCATTATGATATTTTTAAAAATAACGACAGGTGGAGAGGAGGTTGCAGTGGTCGTTTGTACAGATGATTGTCTTCGACAGGCAGCCGTTAAATCAGCTTCGACTTATAGAGCAGAAGAAAGAAATGTAATGCAGTGCTACAGCACTAACATGGGCAATCGAACTCGCCACTTTTCCGAATACAATACCTACGTCTTTCAGCTATACCTGAATGTACTAATGTTGTCTCCTCATTAAGTACCTAATTATCAATTATATTTAGTTACCTACTTATTGTACGAGGAGACAGGAAATAAGGAATGAAGAAATACTAAGAAATGTAGGCATAATACACCAATACTCCTCTAGAACTTAATCAAATTGAAACTGAACTGATTTGGACTTAACAAAGGCCTTTATTCACTCGAAAAAAACATTTTTATTCTAATTCTGGAAGCAAAAATAGAAGGCAAGAGAAAATAGGGGAGACCTATCAGAAGACAGGAGCGGGATAGAAACCTGACAATTGGAACCAAAACAACACAGCCAGACAGAATGGCAAGAGCCAGTGTGTTTTATTGCAGAAAAGGTCAGAGAGAGAATATGTCCAACTGCTGGATAATCCAAGGGGAAAAGTATCTTTTTACGTTTGTATTCCTGTACCTTTCTTCCTAATCACAGAGTCAGTTGTTTTTGTTGGGTTTTTTTTTATATTTTTCTAGTTTTTTTTCCCTTTCAGAGACTGAAGCAACTAACAAACACCTACGTAGACTGGACTACGAAGCCAAGACGATGTTCCGCTACGCACTTCTCCTCGCCGTCTGTCTCGTGTGCTTTAGTCAAGCATACCGCCGCAAGTATCTGTATTGTTCGTATTGCAGCAATGGCCGGTACGTGACATCATTGATCAACGTCCAGAATAGACCTAAGGGAGACTGGAGTATAGGCATGCGCTGTGGTGGCAACGAGGCCCAACATGACTGTACCTTTACTTGTACGTAAGCAAAGGATGTACGTGTTTTGATTTAGTATATTTGCATTATAAAAATTATAGCTCATTTATTTATTTGCTAATGTGCACATGGCTTTGCATGAGACTTCTAAAGGCCAGCGACCATACAATATTAAAAAAATTTAATATTCATCCATATTTATAGAAGAGTTTCTTTATTTGGGCCAATATATCATACACTGCCTTTTGGGTGCATACACAGAATCACTACAATAAATGATTTGCAGTAACCCAACCTACAAAAAGCTCATTTTGAGACAGCGGTGCTACCTTGCCCCCACATTTCAGTGTAATAATAGAGCTTTTTTTCATAGTCAAGACTGTCTAGACGCCATAACGTGTGTCTTGGAAAGTTCACAGCCATTTGCTGGACAGTGTTTCATAGGCTTTGATTAAATAATAATAATAATAATAATAAATAGCATTTGTATAGCGCACTTCCCTGCTCAACAGCAGGCTCTATGCGCTTTACACTATATTATCACCCCCAGCAGACCATAGAACACACCGAAACATTCTCAGCTTCCCGGGAAGCATACAATGCAAGCAGCTAATTAAGCGCTCAAACACTAACAAACTGACAAGATCTTTCGCTGTCTATAGCCTGGTACCCATTCCCACCTGGGTGAAGTGAGGAAAACTCGTGTAAAGTGCCTTTCCCAAGGACACAACATCGGGCCCCTGACGGGATTCGAACCCATGACTTTACAGTTGCGAGTCCGAGAGCCTAATCACTAGACCACAGACGCCACTGTGGTGTTGGTAACAATGAGTCAACTTTTTTATCTTGTTTGGTGCATATTGTAAATCACCTATTACTTTTACCCACTTCATACCAACATTAAAGAAACTGTCTCGAAACGTTATTTTCCAATGGTCTTCATTAATAGGCTTTAAGGTTCAGTTGTTCATCCAATTTTTAGACCCGCATGCAAAGACCTGAGATGATTAAACAAAACAATCTGTTTTTATTCTGTCTGAAACGCGGACAGACGAAAGTAAACAAGCTGTTATAGCGCTTGTTTTTTTGTGTGTGTGTTTTTTTGTTTTGTTTTTTTTTGGGGGGGGGGGTTCTTTTGTTTTCTATTTTCTTCTAATAATTCCTCTTTTTTTCAGCTGTGAGGTATGAGAAGGACAACTCGCTTCATTTCCTGTGTCCGGGGAACAAAGTGCTCAACGGCTTTTACCTCTACTCTGACAACAGATATGTCCTGAACCGAGATTATTCTTTCCGCTGTTGCAACATAAAAGGTAGGGAGTCGTAAGGCGACGCTATCATGACCAGTCTGTGTCTATGGTGCTGTAAAAGAAATGTTTAACAAACTAACCCTAAGTTCATGGGCAACAGGATTTCTATATGTGTTTGTAAAAGTAGGGGGGGTGAAGTGGGGGGAGGGGAGAATAGAAAACACTTCTATTCTTTGTGACACTGTCTGTATTTACAATTAATTGCTGCTTAATGCTCAGGATTTGTAGTTGCGTTAGCTATTGCCATTGTTGATGTTGCTGTTGTTATTCTTGTCTGTCGTCGTAGTTGTTCTTTTGTTATTGTTGCTGTTGTTGTTATTGTTGTTGTCGTGGTTGTTGTTTTGTTGTTGTTGTTGTGTGTGTGGTAGCCTATCCGTTCGAAATGTTTGGAGCCCCGAAGAGCGTGCTCTTTGCCAGGGCCACTGCCTCTCTTGGATAGTGGGTGAGGCAGTCCAACCTCCCTGAATTCTCCCCAAAGAGATGTCACCGCCGGACCTCCGTGGCGGGGAATCTGTGCAGCCAGTGCTCCAAATCTTGGGGCTCCTAGCTGCACAATGGACAGATTGGGTCTGATGTTTTGTCTATTCTATTTTTGTAGGCCCGCAGCCCAGAAAAGTGACCGTCCTGATTTTTGCCAGTAGTGACTTGTCACTGCGGGACTTAATTTGAGCCTCTTGTTTTAAGGAAATGTTGTTGTTGTTGTTGTTGCTGCTGCTGCTGTTGTTGTTGTTGTTGTTGTTGTTGTTGCTCTTGTGTTCTTAAATATCATTTGATTTCAGCATTTTTTGTTAGTAATCGATGTCCACGTTTTGGTCATCATTACCCTTACTACCACCACCATTACCTCTACAAACAATACACCACCACACCAACAACAGCATCATAATCACCACCACCACAACTATCCCCACCACCATCATAACTATAATAACTCTCACGATACACACCACCCCTACAACCACCATCACCACCATTACCATCACTACCTCCAACTTTACCACGAAGACCACCACCATCACTTCCACCACCACCATCACCACTGCACCATCATCACCATCATCACCATCATCACCATCATCACCATAACAATCACCATCACCATAACCATCACCACCACAACCATCACCACTATCAT